TGAGAATATAACATTGCTTCATGTTATTGCTGCCCAAAGTACATAACTTCAATTCAATCATGAGGAACCATCAGACAAATTCAAATAGAAAAACAGTTTATGAAACAGCTTACTTGTACTCTTTTAAAATAATATATAAGAATGAAAAAAAGAAAAAAAGTGTTCCAAGCTAACAGAGACTAAAGAACCACAACTAAAAGCAACGTATGGCCTTTGAACACTCCATCCCAAAATATTTTTATTAGGATAATTGATGAAATATAAATAAAATCTGTAGATTACATTTAGCACTTAATCAGTGTTCATTTCCTGAAGGTAATGAATATAATGTGGTCATATAAGAGAATTTACTTATTCTTAAAAAATGTACCCCAACATATTTATGGGAAAAGGGCCATTGTGTCTACAACTTATTTCCAAATAGTTCATAAAATTATAATAAGTATCTATATAGAGAGAAAATTATCTTTTAAATGTGGTAAAATGTTCATAATTGGGGAAGTCTAGGAGAAGGGATATGAGTATTCTTTGTATTTATGAGTCTAAAATTATTTCAAAATAAAAAATTATTTTAAAAATGTAATCTGCTACAGTAGAAGACTGTCCTTTTCGGGTTCTCATGATGCCTGGTTGCCTCACTTGCATTATTGATCGTTAACAAGGCACCTGAGAAGTCAATTCAATTCAACAAGAGCCAACAGTATGATTAAGATTCCCTCAGTTCCTCTGTTGGTAAAATTCCATGTTATTCTTCTTTCCACATTTAACCTTCTTTCTCCCCATTCTCCTCCTATCTTCTCTGTTACACTTACGTTTTTTAAGGCATCATGTTAAGTGAACTGTGATGTTAGTGAGTGAGTGCAGTGGTTAAGAGCAGGCTGGTGATAATAGCACTTATCTCATGAGATTGTGATGATTAAATAAAATAAAAATGTAAGGTGCCTGTAAGTATTCAACAAATGTCATCTATTAGTCTTTTAGGTCAAATATACTGAGAATCTTAAAGAAATAAGAAAATTTGACTCTTGAAAAAATAAGTTGGCACTAATCACAATGTTTTTATATCATTAGGACACCATGGGCTAGAATTCAAAAGGGAATGTGAATTTAAGCAGCTGTATAACCATTACTGAATTAAGAATTGCCTAAAATCCAAAATAATGGAAGACATGAGCATAAATGAGCAACTTAATTCTATTTTAGAGCTGTGACAAATCTAAAACAAAGTGGAAATTACAGGCAACAGCTTAAGGAAACATGAAACCCAAAAAACAGTACTTTGCCTCCCAGTGGGAGGCTTTAAAAAGATAGGGAAGAATATTTGATTATAAGACAAAAATATGCATAACTTTCTCATTTCCTGCTCACGAGATGCTCTGGCTGCCATTATTGAAGCTGCGTTGAGGACATATAATAAGAGATTAACAAACATAAA